TGCTAGCAAACAATGAGGTCGGGGTCCTCCTCCTCTTCAGTCCTTTGTTGCTAGGAACATTAGGTGGTCCTAACAACCAGTGACAAATGTCTTCCTGCCCCCAGCTTCTCCTCCGTCCTCCTCCTGCAGCTTCACATCCCAGCTCCGGCCTGTGGCCTGTAAAGAAAAAAAAACCGGTATGTACCACACACTTAATATGTCATACTATGTTGGGACAATAAGGCTTTATTCAGAGAGAGAGAGAGAGAGATCACACCTATGCCATGTGATTAATGAGCAGTGTGATTGACTGTATTGCAGCCAGGGGTGCGTTTGGGGTGCCATTCAAATGAATGGCATCGCAACGCACCTGCTGCACTGTAACACATGGTAGGTTCATTGCTCGATACCATGCGTTAATCAGTTCGGCCCTCCGAGTTTCTCATGTGGCCCCTTGAGAAAATTAATTGCCCACCCATAATCCTCTGGTAACTTTTGTGTCTTTTGTTTCATTTAAAATATGGCAGATGTTAATAAAACGAAAGAGCTAAAGGAAAGAACTAAACATATAATGGGGGTGGAATTTATTTTGTAAATGGCCATGCTGAAGTGTTATTAACCGCGATAGTTCCAGTTCCTGTACAATGTCCTCTCTAGTGATGCAATCACTAACCCATACTATTGCTAGAAGAGAGCTATGGTTCATATGCCCACTGACAATGGATAATTCAGAGGTTGAAGGTTGACTACTGTGTTCTACCTGAAATGGAACAGGTAGCAAAAGCAGAGAAAAAAATAACATCTTATGAGTTGGTTGATCATATAGCAGAAACAACAAAGAAAATGAAAACATCAGTTTGGCTCAAACGCATGTTGATTTTTGGTGTCATTGCTTGACAGCTCCAGGGCTAAATCATTGCATAAGTAGTACCTGGAATGTCAGTGGCCCACCACCCAGCCAGTGTGCAGTGTCTCTGTTTGTGAATGACTTATTATAAAATTAGTATACTGTGATGTTATTTTCATGTGAAAGACATAACGCAGAACATTACATAGGTTTCTCTCATGAAATAAGTTTCTTTTCTGTTTCAGATCGCTTGAACCTAAAAAAAAATGAAACCTGCCAGGACATTACAAGTTTTTGCATTCGCAGTGTTTATACACTTAATAAAAGCACAGCGAGTGAGTGAAGAAGATGCTCAAGCAGGTATGTTTCATATTTGCCTTTACAATATATGTAGTAAAAATAGACATATAAACCGATCAAAGGCTAGCAAACAAGGTTCTCAAACCAAAACATATGAACACTTATTTGTATTTGTTTATTTATTTATTTTTTGAGAAAACGCTATCCAGGTATTATACATTTTTTTATTAGATACAGTACATAGGCTTGCCAGGCTGGAGTTTTAAATAGTCCAAATGTCACCAACTACTTATATGTGGGGCACATATAAGTAGAGGTGGTTTGATTTGTTAGTATATTTAGAGATTAAATTGTGATACAAAATATTTTATGTTCCTGTTATGCTTAAACCAGTGCTGGCTCTAGAAATTGACCAGAAGTAGTTGCACAGTGCTTTTAATAAGTGTTTTTTCTTACTATAGAAGAGTTAGAAAAAAATGAAGGCTTCCTATCTTATGGGGAGCATCTAGAAGTGTTAATTGTACCTAAGACGGTACACATTTGAAACATCTACCTTTTGTCTGGAATATCTCCTGAAAAATAGCAGTGCACACCATGGTATGTGAGTCTAAGTATTTCTGTGCCTACGGCCTCATAGCTTTATATCTGCAGTGTGAAATTAAGGCACTGCTGCTTCTGTCTGGTACTATCAGGATATTTGGAGTGAGATTTGGTGATGGTACTACTGTGCTGCTCAATGTTCTCCTTGCTGGAGGCTCTAACATTAGGAAGTAAAGTCCTGCATCTACCAAGATGGCTCCCTCCACAAAGAGACACAGGGCAGAAGAATGGGAAAATATCAGTAATGGGAAAATATCATCTGCAGGGAGACAGCAAGCAATACTGGTTACTAGTCCTTAACCATCTGCCTGATGTTATTTTGGTAACAGTGTCCAGGCTAAAGTTCCTCTGTAAGGGCTCATTCATGTGGCTGTTCACCGCCCAGGTCAGCGTATTTCTGCAGTGGGTACAGCCGGGTGTTTCTGATTACCTGGAGACAGGAAGCCTGTAAAATCAATGACAGAATGACACATGCGGCTAGGGACAGATGAGTGGTTCTGTATGAAGACTGTTTGCGTCAAGGGATGGTCATCTGTCCATAACCACAGGTATTCGTTCCAACCATGTGTGAATAACATTGGACAATTGCGGAGCCTCTCAGCCTGTCATTGATTTGCATTGGCTGAGTGGCCGCAGCTGACTGGAAACACCTAACCATACCCACCACAGAAATGTGCTGATCTGGGTGTATACGGCCTTGAATGGCCGTGTGAATGAACCCTTAAAGGAGAACTATGAGGTGAGTGCTTTTCACTCACCTCATAGTTCTAGCCGACCTGTGACAATGAGACTGCCACAAGTCGGCTCAGTAGATCGGGAAGTGAGCGAACACATACCAGCGTTCGCTCACTTCTCAATCCTGTCACGACTTTCTGCCGTGACAGGGGAGGGACTGGATTCCCCCCTCCCGTCTCCGATGCTCCAGCACTGACTGGCGGAACGGACGGTGGAGGGGGCGGGTACAGCTGGCTCTGCCTCTAGATAGGCAGAGCCAGCTGTCACTCACGCAGCTGGGCGGATCCAGACATAATTGTCGAGATCCGCTTCAAGTGCGGCGTCTCAGTATACCACGAGCTGTAGCTCGCAGTATACTGAGCTTAGGGTAACGGGAGGACGCTAGTTTGTGTCCTCCCGTTACCCTAAGGAGAACTATGGGGAAAAGCCCTCACCCCATAGTTCTCCTTTAAAAACACATTGAAATTGAAAATATATTTTCTAAACTAAAAGCATGATTTGTACCAAAACAGCACCTTCTGAAGTAATGTTTTCCTGAAACAGACATTGTAATATGAACAAGAAATCTGTTGTGTCCATCGTTCTTAAACATACTTTATGAGTGTCCAGTTATTTTTGGAGGCAGCCTACATTAGCGAAGCCAGGGAAAGACAAGTGTGTGCCCGAAGAGCAATACTTTGCAAAATACGGGAAAATTAAGTTCGGGTTTTCATCCTTCCTGGAACACAATAAGGGATTCAGGAAATCCTTAGGAATTGTGAGGTGTTAACATTTTGGAAGCATGCTTATTTCACGTCACTGTGTTAAGTCTATTTGCCACGCTGCTTTTTTCAGCCAAAAATAATATATGCATGAATTAAATAAGTCAACATTGCGCTGCCTAACACATTAAAGGGTAGATCCACCCTAAAAGGATATTTTAGTTTTTGGTACGTGCTGGAAGGGTAAGCCAGCTGTTAAGTTCTTTTATCTCTTAGAAACTGTATCGGTAAGATCTATGCACTAGAGTTCCTGAGTCTATATATCTGCCGTAACCATTATGGTTACCACTGCACATGGGAGACACAAAGGAACACCCATACCTCCCAGGTGGACAGGAACAGAGTCAGGGGCAGGCAGGGAGATCTCACAGTTATCCAACACATGTAAGAAGCCTTAAGGTTTCCATACACTAGTTGAACCGGATTATAATGTACCAGCAGAAAATCGCACAGTGTGTGGGGCTGTCGGCTTCCTTTCAGCCAGCATTCCTCGATCAGCTGATCAAAGGAGTCGGCTGGAAAATTTTCGATTGATCAGAGGCGGAAGCCAATGAGCTGCACGCTCTAATCGGGTATTCTGACAGGTGACTGTGGCACCTTTCAGAATACAATATAAACAGCGGGATTCCTTGATCGACACACTGTTTGTGTTGATGGAGGAATCGTGTCATTTTTTTTCTTTCAGCTCACGGGTTGAACGAAAAAAAAAATGATTGGTGTATGGCCAGCCTTACAATGAAACAGCCCAACGAGCTACACTTGAGCTCAAGTTTAATCTGCTTATATTTTGCCTTCCCTGGTTCCTCCTTTCCTTCGTCATCACCATGTTAATTACATTTTTAAATAAAACATCACAGCACTCTCCCTTAGTACTCCTCTCAAGAGCCTTCAGCCCAAATGCAAACAGTAGGCTGTCTCTTGGTAGGATTTTAACAGATATTAAAATGCCTTGATGGCTGGATGTCAGTCTGTAGGAGTGGGTGATGTTAGGCAGGCTGTATTTGTGTGCAGACTACCCTAGGAAATGCCCACATGTGATGCTCAGCCCCCATTATTAAAAGAACTACAATCTAATATAAGGATGTAGAGGAAAGAGTTAGATTATGCTGGACATCCTCCAGCCAGGAAATGAGGCGGCTCTATGTGACTTGTGGCAGCTTTTAGTGCACCCTGTGAGTAGCTTGCAGTGTGCAAAATTAAAGTAAGCAATTTCTGTACATAAGAGGGGCCTTAAGAACTGTAAACAGGTGAAGGTATGGCAGGAGTTCAGCTTTAAATTAAAATAGCACTTTTTGGGTGAACTCAACCTTGAAGCCCAACTATACCCTGGACACAACATAGATGTTGAGTAGCATCAATAAAGCCCAATGTCAGTACTATATGTTGTTTTGGATTGCAAGTTACTTTAGAAACCAAGAAGTAATAATTTGTGTTGTGACTTATTACTTCACCCATTTTCAAACCTGTTTAACGTCATTACCCCTATCATGCAAAACACTTTCCTTGTACAGTTATACAGTTTTTCTTATTTTTGATCTAAACAAGGATAGTGCCATCATCTGAAAAACTCTGCTGATTCAAGTATTTCAGTGACCACAAAGTATTCCCAATCTTCACTTCAGTTGATAGATCTGTTGGATAAGCAGAAGAAAATAGAATACAAAAATGTGCTCAGATCCTTGGGAACATAAATGGCAGCTGTTTTTGGCATTGTATAAAAATGAAAGTGTCATTATATATAACAATTGAAATTCAATTATATGTTTCAATTTTAACAGGTTGCAGGACTGCAGCAAATGATCTAGTATTCATCGTGGATGGCTCCTGGAGTGTAGGGTATGCAGATTTTGACACCGCAAAGAACTGGTTGGTAAACATCACAACCAGCTTTGATATTGGACCTACTTACACCCAGGTTGCTGTGGTTCAATACAGTGATGGGCCAAGGCTAGAATTTCCACTTGGACAACATCGGACAAACCAGCAACTTATCAATGCGTTGAAAAGCATGAAATATCTGGGAGGTAATACCCAGACAGGTCGTGCAATTAAGTTTGCCACCGAGAATGTGTTTCCCTCTTCCAAAAGACCAAACCTTACCAAGAACAGGATTGCAATTGTAGTTACAGATGGCAAGTCCCAGGATGATGTGGTAGAGATTGCTGCACAAGCCAGGGCACAGAATATCATTATATTTGCGGTGGGAGTTGGTTCTGAAATAACTAAGTCTGAACTTGTGGCGATTGCCAATAGTCCCTCCACAGATTATGTGCTGTTTGCAGAGGACTACAGCACTATAGAAAGGATTAAGGAGACAATGCAGCAAAAGATATGTGAAGGTAATGCACTGCTATTTTTATTCTATATTTATATGGAAAGGTTTTTTCAATGCTTTTGATTTGAAAATCAGTAGATATTTGGAAAACGAAAGAATGAGATGGAAAACTAATATACATAACATAGGTGAAGAGAGGCAGAAACTAGGGTTGCACATATACCAAGTACAGTACTCGGTACAAGTACGAGTACATGTACCGATACTTTTGAGCTTCAAGACTACACTAGAGAAAAATTCAAAAATTAGGAGGCAGCTGTCATTTGTAAGGAGCACACGGAGCTCCTGGGATTTGTACATCTCTGTTTTAATGTACGATTTTGTTTTTATGAATATAAATAAAGTGATGAACAGATACCAGTTTTGCGAGTACGAGTACTGGTACTTGCCGAGTACTTACAAGTACGAGTACTGATATATTTTTGTTTATTGTCATGTGACAGTTTTTCTAAAACAATGCAGACTAATGATTTCAGGACAGTGGAGGAGCACCAGAGCCCGGTCCCAGCTGCAACCGCTACAACCCTGATAGTTCTCATGAAAATGCCAAGTATCTGCACTGGTACTCGAAAAGTATCTGTGCATCCCTAGCAGAAACATTTGCATGTTAAAGCTGAACTCTGGGCTCTATTATAATAATTACCTAATAATAATGGTAGCTATGTGCTACTATGCCCCTAGATCTTCAGTGCAGACATATTTATTTACTTGAATGAGCACGAAAAATTGCCTGATTTCAGGTTTCTCTTGTACTTTGGCCCACCACTGACTGCAACTATGATTGACATCAGCACTAGGGTCTTGTCCTGTCCATGGGTAATGGTAGGTTTATGGGGTTAGGCAGTTAAGGATAGGTGTTATGGTTCGGTTTTTAGGGTAGGAATTTAAAGGGTTGATTTATAAATCATTCACTCAGCAAACAGTTCTGTAAACAAGATTTTCAGCACATTATGGGCACTAGCTGGAGCTGAGGAGCATAGATTTCCTATGCTCCTCAGCTCCAGCTAGTGGCCATAATGCACTATGAATCTCGTTCAAAAAGCTGTTCACAGTGTAAATGATTAATAAATCAGCTCTTTAAACCTAACTGTAAGACCTAACCTTAACTGCCTAACCCCCTAAGCCTAATACTAACTTTTTTTTTATAAACCTTGACAGCCACCACAACACTTTAATTAACTTATTCTTCAGATTAAAATGTTTCAAATTGTGTAAACTGTCAATTGCTTCAGGAACCAAACTTATTTGGGAATTCATCAATCATCGCAACTGGACCCACGAGTACTCTTCTTGTGTCTTTTTATTTGTTGAACAATGACATTGCCTTGAGGTAACAGAGCATTGCCCTGCATTCCTATGATTGCTAAGTGCAATATGTGAAGTTACTTGGCAACCCAAACATTTTCTGGCAAAGCTACTCTCTCTTTCACAAACCTATTGAAATAAGCAGTAGATATGAGGAGAGGTTTAGGTATAAGGTGCTGATTGGAAGATGAAGCTGCAAACAATTTTTCTTATGATATTTTTAATACACATGCCTAATCTGTTTGCTGAATGAATGTACAGTACATGTTAATACAGTTAATAGACTCCCAAATGTTTCAAACTTATGTTGAAAAAACAACAGTTAAGAAAATTGTTATCAACTGGATTAGGAGTTGATCTTACATGTTTTAGAAGCTCAGGGTCACCATACACATTACAGTTTTTGTACAGTCAACTTTAGATCTATTAAAACTACATGAAGAATATGAGGGCCTACCTAAACTAGCATAGTTGTTGGTAGAACTAAAGGAGATTGTACAATCAGGCTGTGTGCAGAGTCAGATTTTACCACAAGGCCAACCAAGGCCCGGCCTTGGGGCAGCAGGGAGTAGAGGAGCAGCAGGGGTGTGGAATTCCTATCTCCCGATGCCCAGGACATGCAGTTTCGGGCGTCCGGCGGGTAGTTGTTTTCCACATTTAGCCCTGTTTTGCGTAAGCGCAGCCCAATGTACAGCGGGGAAGATGCCAGGGGAGCGGGGGGGCTTTTTGTCGGGTAGAGGGGCGCATTGAGGAACCTGGCCTTGGGGCAGCAGAGAGAGTAAATCTGGCCCTGGCTGTGTGTGATGTGTGATAAGCTCTATGATGCAGTGCTGCTATACTCAGCAAGCTGTATAGTCTCCTAATCCTAATACTGATATCCTACAACTAACTAGGTAGGTAGAATACAACTTGTGCAACAAAGTTTGTTCATCAGTGTGGTTATCAACTTCAGCAGATCTGGGGGAAAAAAAAACCCACATATTTATTACACTACCATACAATTTGGTACATAGTCTGGATGTTCAAGATCTATTATTATGTTAGATGGCTGAACTCTTTAGTATTTCATTTATTTTCAATACTTGCATGCTCTAAATATAAAACATAATTTGTTACAGCCTCAGCAAAGAATAGAAGGAAATCAAAACTGGTTACGGTGTCATTCACTGGTTTTCTATGACGTTAGCATGTTAATATATAGAAGTTTTCAACATCGTCATCACCATATAGCAGGAACACCTAACTGACTTGGCTCTGGTTTAGCGTGAGCAGCTGAGCTAATGCAGCACCCCTATCAAATTATGAATGGCCATGTTGAAGCTTGGAGAGTGTTTGTTTTAACATTCACAAGTCTCAGCCGAGGCACATGGCCAGACTTTGACTTCCAAACCTGTTCAGTAAATAGCTGTGAAATTGTTATATAATATAAACAAAGACCCTGCCAATGAAAATAAGCAGGTGACAACTTCTGTCAGAGACTGAAACAAGTGTACCTTTATAATTTCAACAGTGGGGGAATAAGATTTGAAAACACAATGTTGGCTAGAAGTTAGATGTTAGATGTCAGTTCTAATGTTGTAGCTCACAGAATTTCCCCTTATAAAGTCTTATTTTGGAGCTAAATTGTAAAGGTTCTCCTTGTTTAGGTCTGAAGTAAAGATCTGTAGGTGCCTATACTCAGGTCAAAAAAAGTGGAGTGAGTTGTATGTCCTGTTAGAACACAGCTTATTGAAAGTGTTTCCCTTTTCTTCATGTGATGTATGTGGACTTTATAAAATGCCCTGCTCTTTATTAAACCTTCAAATTCTTTTAACAATTCCTTCCAATCTAACATAACTTTCAATTTTGGGCAAAGCCAAGAGTTAAGGCCTTCACAGGTAGGCATGAAGGAATCTCCGTTCTGTTCCCTTAGAGTTTGCAAACTTGAAGTCCATGAGCAGTTGGGAAAGGGTGGGGGGGAATCTTGTTATTTAATTCTACCCATATGTACGGCTAATAAGCAAGCTATTGCGAAACAAACAGCATAGGAACTCAGACACTGCCATCGGGGGCATGTACCAATGAAAAAATTAATAAGAAATAAAAAAAATAAAATGATCTCCCCTACACAGAATCGTCAGCTCTTCCTAACAGCTCCAACACACACTGACAATATGGCTGCTGTGGGCCCACCCTTTTATAAAAAGGGGCTGGGTTATGCAATCCTTAAAATCATTGGCTCTCATGACTGACCAGGAGCAAAGGTTATGCACTGTATCATAGCTTGTTTCTTATTTATGGCAGTGAACCTTGAAAGCATAGTTTTTAGCCAAAAGGTTGCGATTTGCAAACTTTGCAAACCCCGGGGATTATCTGTGAACCGATACTTCTTACCTAATTCTATGTAACTGCAACCGTCCCTCTGCTAATGCAGATCCTTGTATTTCTTCTTCCCTTTGTTGGCTTAAGAGAAAGGTAGTTGTTATGTTATTATGTCCTGGAGTAGAAGTGTATTGAATTATAGTAAATAGAGTATAGGGGACATACACAATCCATGAAAGACTTTGGTGGGCAAGGGGAGAATAAGTACAGGTTTTCCTGAATTAAGTATTTATTAAAAAGTTTTTTTTAAACTCTAGGTATAACTTCAGTTCTGTGTAATCTAAATGTTTGCAACACTTACTTTCAAATCATAGTATAAATAAAAATGCCAGTGAATAAAAAAGCCAGTGTGAATTCCTCACATTTTGGGAGATTTCCTCTAACTTCCTGTTGCGTCTTTGGGACAAGAAGTGAAGGGAAATTTCCCCAATGGCACACAGGCAGCAAACAAACTAAAAAAAAAAAAGTTTTGGTTACACATACAATTTAAATGATTGTTATTCTTGTGGCGGCAGTGGTTTACAGCAGAATGTGAGGTCAGCCATATACACAGAGTTGAAGAAACAGACTGTGTTAGCAACAGGTGGCCAGCAGGGTATTGGAACAGCAGACAAAGGCGTCATAAGGCGACAGAATCGGCAACAGGTGGGCAGAACAGTGTAGTACAGTGCAGTACAGTGACTCCAGGCAGGTGCATTGTCATAGGCAAAGGCCAAAGTCTGCAACAGACAGCAACCAAGGTACAAATTCAATAGGCAGCTATGTTGTCATAGGTCTAGAAACACAAAGTGCACAGCTCATCTCACTCGATGGTTGGATGACCCTCTTCTGGAGTGATTGTCTCAAAAACTGTAGAACCAGCACAGGGCGATCTTCCGAAGAAAATCAAACTTTATTCCATATGCATCTGTACAAAAAACAACCTCTGGCGGGTTTCTGCATTACTCGGCCTTAGTCATAGCTATGTTGTCATAGGTACAGGCCTGAGTCAGCAACAGGCGGACAACAAAGGCAAGATAGGACGTAGGAGACAAGATTAGAGTGACAGACTGAAGGAAAGAGCTCATCAGTGTCCTGCTTCTCCTTTCACTGTTCAGTCCCAGACTATGGGTGGGGAGGAGACCTTTAAGTAAATCTGAAACTGTAGATGAGAAAGATCAGGTCCCCCTCCCTGCTAGACAGGGTTGTGCTGGATGGCAAAGCTGTGTAAATATCAGGACTGGATAGAAACACACAGTAAACTCCCCAGGGAGGAGCAGGGCGGAGGACCTTATCTTTATCATCTACAGTTTCAGATTTATTTATAGGTCTCCTTCCCACCCACGGCCTGGGACTGAA